AGGGCGCATGCGCTTGCCAGACAGAGAGAGACAGAGAGACAGAAAGTGAGAAATCACCCCCCAGGGGGGATGGCCATGCTGCAATCCCTTCTTCTCCGTGCTCCTCTCGGGATCTTGGGCACGCACGCACACACACCTGGCGTGAGTTTTAAGCCACCAGGTCCGGGACACAAACCACAGTCGACTATGTGGGAATCCAGCGACATAGCCATTACGCTAACTGCTGGTCCCTATCTTTCTTATTTTTTAATGTAGATGTTTAAGTCTATAAATTTCCTTCTGATGATTACCTTTGCTGCATCCCACATGTTTTGGTATGTTATGTTACATTTTATTTTGATTCATTTCTGAGTCCTTTTTTATTTCATGTGTGAGTTCTTAAATCTATTAGTTGTTTGTGAATGTGTTAAATGTGTTAATTTTCACATGTTTGTGAAATTTTCAGTTTTCTTTCTGGTTCAGATTGAATATGCTTTATCCAAAATGGTTGGGGCCTGAAGTGTTTCAGATTTTGAATTTTTTTGTGGGAATATTGGAGTATTTTCATATAAATAATGGAATCTCTTGGGTTGGGGTCCCAGGTCTAAACAAAATGTGTTAATGTTTCCTATATACCTTAAACTAGCCTGGATATAATTTTATACAATATTTTTGTATTATAGCATTTTGACTGAGACCTGTCATATAATATCAGGTGTAGACTTTTTTACTTGTGGGTATCAGAAGGTTTCAGATTTTTGAGCACTTCAAATTTGGGATTCTTTAATTAAGGAGCTTAACCTGTATTGATTCTCATCTTCATTCATTGTCTATGAAGACATTTTGTTATGATTTCAATCTTTTATATTTCATTGAGACTTATTTTAGAAGATTGTGTGTTTGGGATTATTTGGTACTATGTTGTCTGTTAGGTCTAGTTGATTTATAGCATTGTTCAGGTCCTGTATTTATTTATTGATGTAGTGTTTAAAGTGTCCAATTTTTATAACTATTTTATTTAACTTTATTTATCTATTTATTTATTTTTACATTTTTGACCAGAAGTGGGAGAGAGAGAGATAAAGAGAGATAAAGAGAGAGAGAGCAAGAGAGAGAGAGAAAGTGAGAAAGCAAGCCGCCAGGTCTGGGACTTGAACCACAGTTGGCCATGTGGGAGTCTAGCACCCTTAACCACCACACCACCTGCCAGCTCCTCCAATTATTTTTTTTTAACCACCAAAGTGGTTTTATTTTTGTCACTGACAGCGTACACAACACTGCAATTATATCATTATTATTTGGTTTCTTAGATATTACTTAAGAATACATTGAAAATATGTTTACATTTGAGAAATGGGACATATTACAGATATCCCGTGTAAACATAACATTTTTTCAATATATTTTCCTTTGTTTCA